TTTAAAATCGCGTGTGCATTTCTGCGATCCGGCTCGAATCCGGCTCTAAAGCTATAGAAATACTTCAAACTAACGAGTGGGAGTAGGCCGTCATCGTATTTTTCCCTTTCAATGAACATTACCAATGACTGGCGCTCATCACATTTTTGACAACACTCGCCATTCCTTGGAAATAGGACAGCCTAGAGAGTTGGAAGAGTCTCGAAGGTAATAACATCAATATCACGGTGAAATGTCTTCACATCCTAGTACATCATTTGAGCAGCTTTCGGGGCTTTTACTTTTCGTTGACACCACAGTTTAGCGGTCGAATCAAATCCGACTATATCGCCAGGGATAGAAACATAGGAACATGTTGGCTCACTGAACCTTTGCCCACTGATTCGCTGGCCACGGTGATTTGAGAATATTCGACCCCTAAATGCCCTTGTCAGACACTATTAGAACTTATTCTCCCCACTACAAATTTTACCTAAGCACCTCTAAATTTAATTGCTTGGAAGCAATAGTCCAGTAATCCGCAACTATGCTGTGAATTTTTGGGCTATCTTATCAGCCGTTATCTCGTCGTGCCACCCCCCAATAATGTTCCTATCTTTGCCCACTATCTTGCTTCTTGAACCAACGTCCTAGCGTCGCTGTTGAAGCATGTTATTCAGATTGGTGACCCTTCCTTTCTGAGGCCCGTTATATTTATCTTATCAGCTGTTATCAATTCCTGCCAGCCATGAACCATTGTTTCCATCCTGTCCCCTATCTTACTTCTTGAACCGACGTCCCGTCGTCGCCGTGGCCGGCGCTATGACTTTGGTGACTCTCCCGTTTGTAAGGCCTCTCAGGAATATTATCAGCCGTTATCACTTCCTGCCACCCAAATGATTTCCCATCTTTGCCCATAATCCTACTTCTTGAACCAAGCTCTTTAGCGTCGCTGTGACACCGAGATGGTGATCCTTCCCGTTCTAGGCTCTCACCCCTTTACCTTATCAGCTGTTTAATCCGTCCCTGCCACCTACAATAGTTTGTCTCTACGCCCGACCTCCTACCTCACCTATGAATTTTGAGCGCTCACTGCCTGTTTTGAATGAATTAGTGGGGTTCGCCGTCAAACACACACACAGACATTCCCACACACATCACAAACAGACAACTATAGCGGATTATCTGAGGTGTGTAACTAATATAAAAACAATGTGAAACTCCAAAAGGTTTATTTCCAAAGACTCAAAGGCAGTGAAAGCTATCGAAAAGTTTGTTTATATAATATCTAACTTGCCGATATTTCGGTGCCGTTAGCACCTTCCGTCAGGCACGTTGCTCCCGAAATAAATCGGGACAACTGGCCTGACGAAGGTGCTACGCACCGACAATACGCAAGTTAAGATATATTATAAAAAACTTTTTGAAACTTTCACTGTCTTTTGAGTCTTTTGCGAATAAACTTTTTGGAGTTTCACATTGTTGTTACACACCTCAGATAGGAAATTGAGACCTCGGGACAGCACCATACTGCGATTAGGAATTATATTATATAGGATGTTCGTGGGAAGTCGCCGCGTTCTGAGGATATTGCAGAAGCACCATATTGCTCTTGAGTGCTAGCTCTCATCATGCATCTCTCGGTTCTTATTTTCAGCAGCACTCAATATGTTGATCCGCATAAAGAAATTTTGCGTTGTAACTTGTATTCCAAACGGCAATTACAGGCTGCGGTAAAAAGCCAAGAGAGCTGCCACGCACCGCGGCCGCGCAGACGTGTTAATTAAAAAGTGAGATTGCCAAACGAAGCGGCCTCAATAGCAAAAAGGAAAAATAACGAAACTTTCAAGCAACGCCCGTAACTTGAACCCCGTGTCAAGTTTGGGGCGGGACATGAGCCAGACAACATCCAACAGCGGGCGGACCGGGCCGACACATCGAAACAGTTGAGGGCTAATTAGTCTCGCTTACAACCCTCCAATACTTTGGGACAAAAGCAGCCGCACCATGTGTCTATATAAGCACACCGTCCTCCGGTAGCGCCTGTTACTCCTAATATGAGAAGTAGATCTTGTCAAAAAATAGGCCAAAATCGAATTGGCTCATCACTGTTCTTCACCTAAAAGTTCGAGAACAGGAAATACCATCACCAGTCCATCCGCCTATCACGAAGACGGCAACTCCGAGCTTCGATAATCCAAGGCCTCTCAAGCCATTTTTGCACGAACCTGAATTCACATTGGACCAGTGTAGAAGCTCATCACAGTTAGCTTCTCTCGCCATTCTGACACGGTGGCAACCACATCACGCACGGCAACGATAAGAGACTGCTGATTTTGAAAAGACAGCTTGATCATGAAACTCAGTGCTGCAAAAGAAGCCCGAGCTACTTAATCTAGCGCAACTGCAGTTAACTTCCCAACTCACTCTCATTAACACCCATGCGCCAGCGATTTATCATGTCACAAATGCTCATCACACAGGCATCGAACTCCTAACTCCTAATTTGTATCCAGTGATTGTGCCTTTCAAGTATAAGACTGCCAAGGGGAAATATATCTGAAAGTTTCTGCTTCGAATGCGCGAGCCAGATTGATTCATTTGCCTGTGTATGCTTCAGGAAATTCCCTTCTTCTACACACTTTAATATGGCTCTCGTGGTTTTGAATAAACAAAAGACCTTCAAGGTATATTCTTTAACATCATTGCCGAATATCACAGATCATAATGCGGAACCAATTTTCGTTTCACAACATAGAGATATGGCGTGCTGCACGCAACCGCGCCGCGCAGACGGTGTTAGTAAAAAGGTGAGTTTCTGAAACGGGCGGCATAGCAAGGAATTACGACTTTCACACGCCCCGTACTCTGACCCCGTGCAGTTTTGGGCGGGGGGACCACGACACATCGACAGTTGAGGGGCTATTAGTCTCGTACAACCTCAATGTGTTTGGGCGTACCATGTGTCTTTAAGCGACCTCCTCGGTACGACTGTCGAATGATGAGAATGTTCTGTCAAGAAATAGGCCAAAATCGAATTGGCTCATCACTGTTTTCACTAAAGTTCGAAAATTCCATCAAGATCCTCCGTATCACGAAAGGCAACTCGAGCTTCGATGCTCCTACTATTCAAGCCTTTTTTTCGGTGAATTATTTGGGTGTAAGCCATGCAGTCAGCTTCTCTCGCGATTGAACGTGCAACCCACATCACACGAAGATGAAGAATGTGATTTGAAAAACAAGCTTACATGAAACTATTTGAAGAAAGCAGCTCTTCATAGCAACTCAGATAATTCGAATCTCTCATTAACACCATGCGCCAGCATTTGATCATGTCACAAATGTCACACACAGCATCGAACTCCTACTCTATTTTCCGTATTGTGTGAATATAAATGCAAGGGAAAATAGGAACTGGGAAGTTCTGCTTGAATGGAGATGATTCTTTGCCTGTTATTTCAGGAATTCCTCTTCTACACACTTTGATATGGCTCTTCGTGGTTTTGATAAAAAAAGACTTCAAGGTATATTCTTAACATATTGCTGAATATCACAAAATAATTGCGGCCAATTTTCGTTTAAGGTAGAGAGGTGCCTAGGATCCTACTATCTGGAGCCGGAGTTTTGGATACTCGATGGACCTCGAATGGCTGAATTAGTAGTGAGTACAAGTGATTGGGGATCAAAGGCCATATTCTAGTCACAGAAAAATTCATGATTTCTCCGTTCAAATGATTTTTGGGGCATTGTGGGTTTTCGGGTCAGGACAACGGTCAAAAGAAATCGTTCAGAAATCTGAGGTGCCACATCATGCGCAAACCCAGCGGCAGCACCACAATGGAGTCGCTTCATGTGCTTTTTAAGAAATAAGACTAGGACGTGGTGCAGTGGCCAGTGGCGCACTTATCACGTGTGCTGGTCAAATATCAGATCGGCTCCCGCCCAGTCCATTCATGCCTTCTTCCCTCCAAAGTTGGTTTGGAAGGGTAAGACCACTAAATCACACTTTGCTAGCCCCCGCAAAACTTTTCATAGGCTACATTGCATTCAGTAAGTCATTATGGTTCTGAATGGGAGCTGGGCGGGTTGAAACGATCGATCAGTGGCAAAAACTTTATCCTTTATCCTTTTTTGGGGATGACACCCTGTAATTGCCACTGTGATTCGTAGAGTTAGAATGTACGGTCCATATCCCACTCCTAGGCGAGATCAGTGGGGTACAGAGCCAAGCACTTGCTTACTCGCTGGAATGGATAGGTGCGCTCACAGCACATACTAACAATAGCGGTTTCGAATGAATTTCAGGGCATGGTGCAAAAGCTCAGTGTTTCTATCCTTTAGCGTTATAGTAGACCGCTAAACTTCCGAGTTTCGACAAAAAGTAAAAACTCAAAGTTGTTCGCCAGTGGGGAATGATAAGGGTCACCAACAGGCGGATATGTGAAAACAGCTCAACGGAAGTGTTATGATGTAAGCACATTTCACTATGGTTTCGATATTGTTACCTTTCAACCGCTAAACCGTTCTATCGCCAACGAATGATGTGTGTTTATAGAACTGATAAACACATTGGCAGTCATTCACTAAACAGGAGAAATATGGAAATATCATGAAATGGGCCGAATTGTGAAACATAGGAGTTAGGCCTAGTGTTAGGGGTCAACACAGAAATTCTTCCATAGATCAGTACCACAGACTGAACCATTCGCGCAGTAGTGCGCGTCAGCCAAACTGGTGATATATATACATATATATATATATATATATATATATATTATATATTATATATATATATATATAGTATATATATATATATATATATATATATATATATATATATCTAATATATATATATATATATATATATATATAATAGTTTAATATTAGTATATATTAATATATTATATATTATATATATATAATTATATGAATCTAGGTGAAATCTTTTCTTCATTTGCAATGTGATTCGGGTGTTATGGTCGAAAGTACGCGAGAGCCATAGCACGAGTGAGCTTGATAAGATGAAGTGAGTTCTTTACGACTATTCATCAGTTTGGTATGCTGCAATTCTTATGAATGAATGTTTACGCAACGAAACGCTAGTAGAAGACTTTTCCAGGAAAAGCGTTAAAGCTGCATTGATGCTGATTCCACTGCTCGGTATACCGAATATCATGCAGACTATTCCATTCGCTCCAACTCGAGATAACATTACGGTATTGTACAATATTATCACATTTATATAGCGTGCGGTTGCATTATTAACAGAGGCTGTGGCGTATAGCAGTCCGAAAATTCTGGCTCTTTTGGGTGTCTGTCAAGTGGCCTATGACGACATAATGATAAAGCAACAGTGAAAAAGACTTTTCCATAATGTTACTAGATAGCCGCAACTAGAACTGCTATTTGAATTGGCTGAGCAAAGTGGGCAGTACAAAGCGTATTGAATTCTTTGCAGATTTTCGCCATTTGGACGTACCTCGCATCGTTCACGTACATGTATCAGGGTCTTATGATTACTATCATATACTGCTTCACCAACAAGGAGGTAATTCTCATATTTGACTTTTGGTTATTAACCACCGAAAATATGTTGATTTGTGAATCTGAGTTTCTGAATGTGATCGCGAATCGGGAGTGAGCTTCTGGTGTTATTCCAACTGTTCCCAAACATGCAAAAGGGTAAGGGGGGACGCCTTCAAGCACTGATGAGTTTCCTTGGGACTTGTCGCATGATTTCTGTTGGGGATTGTAGCTGCATTCGAGTGCGTTTTCAATTACACTTGGGCTTTGACCGATGTAATGGATAGTACGAGCATGACAAATCATTGTTTCTATCTTCTAGCATGAGTCTGATAAGAGTTACGTCTAAACAGGCTTTAGGATTTGAGCATGTATCGGTGTGTAGAATCTGATGTAACGCACTATGTACTACACGCCCTTCCTCTTGTCGCATTCTGTATCCGGCTACTCACCACGTACTTCCTTCTGTTTTACTGACATGTTCAACATTGAAGTTATAGACGTCTCTTTTTGTTGGCACGTTTGTGGATGGCATGAATGTATGAGAATGGAAATAGCCTGCCTTTCGTATTCTTATGATATGAGTTGTTCAGGTGAACACTGTTTTGAAAACGTTCTACGACCGTTATCGTCTGCAGCACACAAGTCAACACGAACTGCGCCGAGGCTCGCGCTCTATTGCGTCTCATTATCAAGCCCGGAATGGCCAGGTGACTGGAGTAAGTTCTCAAAACATGGTAATGGTAGACATTTCGAACATGATGGAAGTGCTTCTGCGAAAATGTCTGGACCCGGCAGGGTGGTTGAAAACTGAATAGCACTTGTTCGACTTGAACATTCATATTAAAATGTGAACAGCTCTTCTTCTTTTTCTCCCTAGCGTTAGTCCCGCGCCGTCGCAGGATCCGCTGTTTTTGTCAGACGTCGCCATTTGTTCCGATCCACTGTGGCTTTCACTTCAGTGAGGTCCTTCTTGATGACGTCCCTCCATCTTTTCTTTGGGGCTCCTCGTGGTCGCTTGCCCTCTGCTTCAAATTCCAATGCCTTCCTTATTGGGTGGTCTTCAGGCCTTCTCAGTACATGCCCATACCATCGCAGTCGCTGCTCTTGTGCCTTCAGCTGGATTGGAGCCGTCTGTGTGATCGCCCTGACGTCCTCGTTTCTGACTCTAACGAGTCGGGTCCAACCGCAGGCAGATCTCAGCATCCTCATTTCAGCTGAGTTAAGCTGCCTTTCATAGTTCTTGCAGATGGGCCAGCACTCACTGCCGTAGAGCATTGTAGACCTTACCACCGCCCCTCCTTTTCATCCAGGCTGCGTTGATTCGGGTCTTCACCGCCTGGTCCACGCTGTCTTCAGCTGCTAGGGTGCTTCCCAGGTGTTGGAGGTCCTCAACCCTTTCGATGCTCTCGGCATAGCGGTCTACGATGAGTTCGGTGCACTCTTCGGAGCTTAGGAACATCATCTTCTTCACGTTCAACCGGAGTCCATTCTCAACGAGCACATCCTGCCACCGCTGCCCGTTGTCCTGGAGTTCCTCCCTGCTGTCCGCTATCAGGGCGATGTCGTCAGCGTAAGAGGATGGTTTTCAGTGGTCCCTCCATGAGTTCTTTTGCCATGACATCTAAAGTCAGGAGGAAGAGGAACGGGCTGAGGACTGATCCTTGGTGTATCCCAACCATGATGTTTACCTTTTTCGTCAAGCCGTGCAGGGTGTGTACAGCTGCTTTAGCCCCATCGTACATATCCTTCACTATGACCAGGTGCTCCAGAACGTTACGTTTTCTGAGCGCTCTCCACAGCACAGGCGGAAGCAGGCGGTCGAATGCCTTCTAACGGTCCAGAAAGGCTAGGTAGCAGGGTCCCCGCTTCTCTCGGTACTTCTCCATCAGCTGTCTGACGATAAAGATGGCATCAGTGAGTTTCGGACATGAAGCCGTGAAGCCGAACAGTTCCTGCGAAATAGGGACAAGTTCCCTGAGCCTAGTGTTGACCAGGCGCTCGTACAGCTTCATGGTATGGGGAGTTAATTTGATTCCGCGTAGTTGGAGCACTCCGTCGCGTCCCCTTTCTCTTTGAAGATAGGGACGAATGTGCTGCTCCTCCACGCATCTGGCATCCTTCCTTCCGCCGTTACGTTGTTTAGGAAGTCCGTTAGCCAACTCACCCCAAGCCCTTCCATGCCTCTATCGGTACCCGTCTGGACCCACTGCTTTCTCAACTTTCAGTTCACAGTCTGTTCATAGTCTTTACGACCCTGATGTGCTGGACAGCACGATGCCGAGCTTTAGCCAGGCGGAAGACGAACTTGTTCCCTTCTCGGCCTTCCAGCTTCTCGTACAGTGCGTCCATTTCCGTATTCTTGGCCTCAGCAACGGCAGCCTTGGCGAGTCGCTTGCAGCTCTTGTAGGCAGCGTAGTCTTCTGGGCTCCGTGTCTTTTGCCAGCGTTTATATGCTTCCTCCTTCTGCTTGACGATCCCCTGGACTTCCTCGTTCCGGAACCAGGCTGCCTTATCTCCTCTGATACCACCTCGCGTCTCTCCTAGGACTTCCTTGGCACACTGTAGGATGACCTCTGCTGCGTAGGTCCAGCTGTCCTGGACTGGCCCCGTGTGGGCCTGGAGCCCAGCCTCCAGTATTCTTCGGCCGAGGCTATCCTTTTCTACCTTGCGCATTATCCATCACCGAATTCTTCGCTCTGCTCTCACCCTTAACTTCTTGCGGAGGTCTGCGGCGATGTCTGCCAGGAGAGGCCTGTGCTGAGGGCCCACCTCTTCCCCAGGCAGTACCTTGATATCCTTGACGGTTTTGAGAGACGATCTTCTGACTAGGACATGGTCGATTTCCGTTTGTCTCCCTCCACTGCTGTAGGTTATCTTCTGAGTCCTCCTTTTCGCGAAGAATGTGCTACAAATTGCTAAGTCGTGGACTGTGGCTAGGTCAAGGATCCGTTATCCCTCAGCGTTCTTTGCCCCTATTGCTTGGCTTCCGTGCACCCTTTCTAGACCCCTTCTGTCATTTCCTACATGGCCATTCAGATCGCCAGCTATGGTGAGGTAGTCATCTTCCGGAACTGACCTTATAGCCTCGTCCAGGGTCAGGTAGAACTCAGGTAGAAGTCATAATTTTCCGCCTCGGAGCAACCGGATTGTGCTGCATACACGGTCAGTACGGCCACCCTTCCTTCGTGTCCATTCTCACTCCCATGACTCGATCACTGTCCTGTTCACAGAGGAGACGCAGTCCTTGAGGGATTCTGCCACCGCTATGGCTGCGCCATTCCGTTTGGTGTCTGCTCCATTGTAGAAGAGTTTGATGTCTTCTCTAATCTCGCGGACCTTTGCACCCTTCCATCGTTGAAGGCATAGACTTGGATATTCCTTCGTCTCATGAGGTCGGCAAGCTCACGAGACTTCCCGGTAAGCGACCCCACGTTCAGGGTCCCAATTCGAATTAGCTTCTTTGGCCGAGGTCGCTCACCTCTCGGTAGCCCTCGCATACTGACCACAGAACTCGGGCGACGGCTCTGCGCGCCACTTCCGAGTGAAGTCCTAGCATTAACACTGATTCTATTGCGACTTGTCATGATTGTTGTGACGAGTTCCTCCATCAGCCGGCCTGTCAACCGGGCCTGACGCTGGTATCGTCCCCATTTTTGCAATTTTTGCAAGGCAGATTTGTGCCTCGGTAGGGATTGATTTCTGGCTCAGGGTGTGAAAATGAGTCCACACTCTTAACCACTCGGCTACCCCTGCCTCTTAAAAAAATGTGAATAGCTATAGAGGGGGAAACAGTGCGACTCCATATGATGGGTGTTTAGATCCTATGTTCTGAGTCTGCACAAGTGGCACCCAAGAATTCAGGAAATATTTCGTGATGTAAAGGTTTTTGCCAAAATGTCGGCAGTTTCCCCAGCAAAAAAGTTCCAGATATTATTCCTACTGTTCCTCTACCTATCAAAGATGGTCGATCTGCGTGACTCTGTAAGAGAGAGTCGATCGAAATGGTGTATCATAAGTGCGGGATATGCGGTTCTGGGAACAATGGAGAAAATTTGGGCTCTTCGAAACGAGGGCTCTCCATCGTATCCACTGAGGAGGTGTTGTGGGGTGGTTCAGTGGTGTATTATATCAAAGGCAAGAACAAGGGGAATAAGTTGTAATAAGCTCTTTATGTAACGGAACCCACGTATACTCGATGAGGATGATTGAAGAAGTATAATTCCCCTACCTGGCTTGACCCCGCAACAGGTAGAGGGCGGACTCAATGAGGGATCGTCGTCTCAGACTGTGAGACGACGATGAGGGAAGGGATCGTCGTCAGAGACGATGATACTCCACCGGCAACGGAATTTACATTCAACGGGGTTTTATACAAAGATATTATACAGAACGAGAGTATCGACATATAGCAGTAGATGTGGCGCTCGGCCAGCTGGGCGGCTGGACGGCGATGACGTAGGTTGGACGTCTATGAGGGCGATTGTGCTGGCTGGACAAAGGCGGTGGACCTGCACGTTGGTGGTGTAAGCTGGACGGCTGTACGAGCGAAAGGCGACGTCGATGGTGAAAGTAGAGTTAAATTAATACACAAATATAGCGTAAGTGTGGAGATCAAAAGATTGATTAAAGGGTCAAGACAACTTGATCGTCGCTCTTGCCTGTTGAGCTCACCTGACAACCCGTCTCATGTACGGTGTCTGTTCGGTGGCTGTCTTGAAATGCCGCGTTACCACTTATATATTTTTGCCACTTTTCGTCGCCTGGTTCTACTGTAGCCACCATGATGGTGGACAATTAATCCCTCCATGGCATTCACTGGTCGAAGGGAGACGACAGTATGCCCGGGTCAGGCCAGCAGTTGGAGGTGGGTAGAGATTTTCCATTAATTCCCTGAGTGGCACATAGGGCCATAATAGGGTGTTGATAAATTTTGCGAAGACCCACTCCAATGAGGTGTGGTGGTCGATTACTTACGATTGACATGTGGGTTAATTGGGCCACTATGTGCCGTCTTTTGCATTCTATTGATTCTTTTTTGGTTGAGACATTTTTGCATGCTATTGATAATGGTTTTTTCTTTGTTCTCGTAATGGTAGTGTATTTCATCTGGAACCTTGGTGAGATTCTCTTGCTTTGTGATTAGTTGATGGGTGTATTGTATCGGGTTCAAAAGATTGAACGCACAAACGTGCACTGACTTGACTTTGCTATATTTCTGCTAAATTGGTGTTTGTTGCTCTCACGTACCATCATGTGGCGTGTGGTATCTGGGTAGGTTCCACTGTAGCGATAGCAGCTATTGGCAATGAATTGATGGCTGTAAGGCCCATAGGTGAGAACATGTTGTGCTGAGTTGCACAATACATGGCTCTTTTCGCCACGCTCTTTGAAGGAGCGGGGGAAGGAGGGCTCGCGCTTTCGCCTTGTTTTTGGCATAGGTAGGACGCGTTGACCAAACCGAGACAGCGAATCGTTATGATTGCCTGCGGTAGTGATCTCTCTGCCATTGCTTGAGGGCCTACCAGGTTTCGACCATTTCTTGGATATGAACTTTAATTTGCTATATCTGGCTTCGAGCTTCCGCCGTGAGCGTCGTCTGCGAACATTTTCGTTCTTCTAGAATTGCCGTCATTCCGTAGCTTACGCTAGGTGTGGTGTTTTTTATTGTGAGTAACCCTTTTCCTTATAAGGTGGGTCCAAATATATTCCTCGCAATGTGGAGGCCTGAAGGAGTTCTATCCGTTCCTGGTCTCAGAACCAGGTTGTGATAGTAGTCTAATCCCACTAGAATATGGGGGACTTGGTGCTCTCCACG